TTCGACTGCATTAAGAAAGTATTTGTAAACAAACGGAATGAGTGAGTCAACTTAACTTAGGTCGTGGTTATTGATAACAACTAGATAGGATTCTTAATAGCAAGATACTAGTCAACTAGAGCTAACGGTAGGAAGAAGTGTAACGAACGAGAGTTGTTGAAACTAGCACATTGGAAGATCAATCGGCCAAAATAACCATGAGCGACTACGATGTTATAAGTTTCTTCCTCTTGACCGAATCTGTAACCTTCATTAGTAGATTCATTTTCTGTGATTTTCCTGATCAAACTAGAAGTTACCAAGGAACCATACTCTTATTCTAGCTTTCCCAAAGTGGCGAGGGGGGTGAGCAGAAAAAGCATTCTGCTCTTTTTCTTAGCCTTTGGTATACTATTCCCTGACCAGCATCATCATCTTTCACAGAGCTAAAAGCATAAGTACTTATCCACCTATCATAGGCAGCGAAACTACTCCTGATGATGCTTACCTCATGGCAACTTATGGAAAGGAGAGGACGAGACAACAAGATGGTCTGTCAGAGAGGTTGTCATATACAGAGTCTGACGTAGTAGCGGACAACTTTGAATTGAGACTGAAAGCATCAAGCTCAGCAGTTTATGGTTCACCCATTTTTTTATGCTATATACGCGGACTCCGTTCCTATATCTCTTCCATTAAGCTAGACAAGTTGGGAATTAATGGTTGGCTCTATCTATAAAGATTTTGGATTTGTTCATAATGATCAAATTATATCTGGTCTTGTTTCCACCTTTCCAATCATTCTCGATATAATTTTTAAATATTGGATTTTCTGTTAGTTGTCTCTGTCACTTGTAGTTATTTATCATTCAATGATGCATGATAAAGGACCCATTGATATTAATCTAATCCAATTAGAATTCTTGGTACTTTGTAGTTGTACATAAGTAAAGTATTGAAAATCGTATTTACTCTTTCTATTTCTAACCATCAGGGAGATTCATCCTAGATTGTTTCGGCAAATAGCAGAATCGTGGCTAGGGAACTATACTAGTGACCTACCCAATTGTAGAAATTTTTGCGATCAATAATTGGACCATGCAAACTAGAAATGTTTTTTCTTGGCTAAAGAAAGAGACTACTCGATCTGTTTCCGTATCGCTCATGATATATATCAACGGTCTATAGGAGGTTTTGAAAAAAAAGGAGAAATAATTATTTTCTTGTTCTATCAAGAGGATACTATTGCTCCTTTCTTTTTTTCTTTTTATTTATTTACTAGTATTTTACTTACATAGACTTTTTTGTTTACATTATAGAAAGAAGGAGAGGTTATTTGCCTGCATTTATTCATGATTGAGTATTCTATTTTGATTTTATATTTATTTAAAGTTGTAGAAATATAACTTGTTTCTCTCCTTGCTAATGTTACTATATCTTTTTTATTTTTATTTCAAAAAAAAAATCTAATTTTGACTTCATATTTATATCTTTGAAATAAGAAAGAAGAGAAATATTTGAACTTGAATATTTTGTTTTTTAATTTAAATAATGTAAAAATTGTTAGTATACTGTATTTGTAAAATAATTCCGGAAATATAAACGAATATAAACAGAAATGAACATAAACAAAAATGTTAGAAAACCAATTCGAGCCCACTGAATTCACAGTGTTTCCTTAAGGAATTTAATCCCCTCCTAGTACCCAAGGTTATGGATTATTTTCTCCCAGGATAGAACGAATTACATACTGGTGTAGTGGTACTTCAAACCCCAGCGTTTCAGCGAACACAAAATTCGGTAGCAAATCACACTTACTTTTTGCTTTGTTTGATGCTAAAAGTATGCAGAAGAAGGAGAAGAAACTCAAAAAATCGTAGTGAAATTCTGAGCAGAATAGTGTTGTATTTATAGCCAAAGTTGGGCTGAAATCTGAGGAGGTGCAACTCTTCAGAATGGATGTTTATGCAAAACGCCCACAGCATAAATGCCATTACATAAATGGCCATTTACTCAACAATAAAGAGGGAAAATAAAGAGGGAAAATTGAAGAGGGTAGTTACTTTTCTGTTACCAAAACAACAAAACGGATTGGATTTAATATTCCGATTCCGATTCCGAAGCCGTAGCCGAAGCCGAGTCGAGCGAGCGACGACGACGACGGCGCGAGGCTTGCCTTCTTCTCAACTCTTTAAGAGCTAGAAGAAGAGCAATTGCTTATATACCCATAAAAAACCTCTTCCTCTTCTAATATGGGACAATGCCCATTTGCTAAGGGGGAACTTAAAATTTCACTCAAAAATTTCATTTCCCTCCATTTCCCATTCACCCTCTTTAAGTATTTAATATATTAATTAAATACATCCAAAACCCAACAAAAATAGAAGGTAAGTAGGCGAGGGGGCAGATGTAGGCAAGTGAATCAAGGCTCCATTTCCCATTCACCCTCTTTAAAGCATTTAATATATTAATTAAATACATCCAAAACCCAACAAAAATAGAAGGTAAGTAGGCGAGGGGGCAGATGTAGCCAAGTGGATCAAGGCAGTGGATTGTGAATCCATCATGCGCGGGTTCAATTCCCGTCGTTCGCCCATAATTCATAAATATTTTATTTAATAAATGATTGTCTACAAAGGATTTTATTTAGTGAACATGTCACAAGATTACTCCTATTTATTTTTGTAAAGTTTATAAAAATGAAGAATTTAATTCGATTTTCTCTCATATTTACTATGGCGACGAAGAATCAAATTATCACTATATTTATTCCTTTTTCTACTTCTTCTTCCAACTGCAGGATAACCCCAAGGGGTGGGTCTTTTCTACCAATTGGGGCTCTCCCTTCACCACCCACATGGGGATGGTCTACAGGGTTCATAACTACTCCTCTTACTACATGACGCTTATCTAGCCAACGCTTAGATCCAGCTCTACCCAAACTTTTCTGGTTCACCCCAACATTCCTCACTTGTTCGACTGCTGTTGAGCAGTTTTTAGATCTCAAACGGCCTCCCCAGAAGGTAATTTTATTGTGGCCGGTTTCCCTCTTTTGCAATCAGTTTCGCTACAAAAGTCGCTGGTCTAGCTAATTATTCACCTATTCCAAGTGTGATTTCTATGTTATGTATGGCTATGCCTAAGGGCGTATATATCGGTCATGACTTAAATTATTCTTTAATTATGTATTTTCTCTATTTAGTGTAATTAGTCTTAATAAAATAATTAACCTTTTGCTCTCTTTGATTTTAGGATAGTAGGTACCAATCCTTGTTGCGTTTATATCCAGCTCCCCGTGGATTTGATAATTGAGATACTTCTATTTAACTATATTATAATTTGACTAGTCTCGCTTGCTCAATATGTTAATTTTATATTGTTAGAGTAGCATGTTAGTTGGTCAAGTTTCGCGGAGGTCAATCCCTACCTTCAGCACCATCAAGATTATCTTCGTCTAATCTTCCTATGTATCTAGAAGTCTTTGTCGATAGCAACATATTCCATAGAGAGAAAGGCACTGCCGAAGAGAATTTGGAAAATGAATCAAAACGATATTTTTTCAGTTATATATGATGTGCACAATGAAAATGAGTAGGACGTTTTAATTGGTTGAATTTTACACGTTGGACGTGTTTGAGAACACGCACATTACTTGTTCCACAAACAATATAAATTGTGTTTGATAGCAATATTTAGAGGCGGGTTTGAGTGTTCAAAAGGAACAAAGCTTTTTTTAGGTGTCTAAAGAAAAGAAAATAATATATTTTAAAGGGCGCTTATGTATTTGACCTCAAAAAACAGATACATGTTGCCTAAATCTTTGCATTTGGATTTGGTTGTGGTGTTTCAAAACTGGCATTTGGAAAATAATTTCGTAATCATGGTTGCGTTAGTTCTTAAGAAGAACGGAAAATAGTTCAAAATGTCCTTAAACTATTGGAAAAGGTTTAAAAATACCTTTCATCCATCTATTGGGCTAAAAATACCCCTCCATTCACCTTTTTGGTTCACTTATGCCCTTTGACTGTTAGGTCAATGCTGAATTAAAAATAATTACTTAAAAAAAATATTTTGCCAAATATTTTTATTTTTTAAACTAATGCACCAGTAGTCCACTAATTTAGTAAAGTCTTCTTCTTCTTTTTTCAGTTTTACAAAAAAATATTCTTTTTTCAGTTTTTTCAGTTTTTCTAAAGCATTTTTTTTGTCAAAACTGGAATTTTTTTTGTAAACACAGAAAATAAAATTGTTTTTAATAAAATATTTTCGTTTTTAAAAACTGAAAAAAATATTTTCAACAAAATATTTTCGTTTTTGAAAAATATTTTTTTTCATTTTTCTTAATTTTTTAAAGCATTTTTTTTTGTAAAAACTGGAAAAACAAATTTTTAAAAACTGAAAATAAAATTGTAAAAAATATTTTCGTTTTTTAACAAAATATTTTTGTTTTTTAAAACCTGAATTTAAAAAAAATGAAAAAAATATTTTTCAAAAAGGAAATAAATATTTTTTTCAGTTTTTAAAAAGCGAAAATATTTTTATTAAAATCGATTTTTTTTTTCTATTTTTACAAATTTTTTTCCAGTTTTTACAAAAAGAAAATGCTTTTAAAAAATGAAAAAAAATATTTTTTTGTAAAAACTGAAAAAAGAAGAAGAATACTTTACTAAATTAGTGGACTACTGGTGCATTCGTTGTAAAAAAACAAAAATATTTTGCAAAATATCTTTTTGTTAAGTAATTATTTTAATTTAGTATTGACATAACGGTCAGAGGGTATAAGTGAACTAAAAAGTTGGATGGAGTGAAATTTTTAGCCTAATATGTGGATGAAGGTTATTTTTAAATATTTTCCAATAGTTTAGGAGCATTGAAAAGAAATTTCTCTAAGTACATTTACTTTTATATGGTTTCTATTCTCAAGTACGTTCGGTCATTCTTGCAACATTTTTAGTTTTACATGGTTTTTGGCTTACAAATATTTTAAGACCAAACATGACTATTTTCTTTGTTGTTTAGAAAAAAAAGTACATATTACTTAAACCAAGGCCTGCAGATAAACCTCTAAAAAACCCCAAGTCCTTCGCGGAGACAATTTCAGTTTCTCCGACCAGCTTCCATAGCCGAAACTGCACTCTTGGGTCTTCCAGTTGCTGCGCAAACGGTTCTCTACACCCCAACTTCTCCATGCATCTAACCGCAATAACTTCTCACCCGCCGAATCCAATAATACATTCATCTTCAACACCACTCGTCCTCAACCCCCTCTTTCTCAGATTACCCTTCAAATGCCGACGAAAATTGAAAAGACCTACATTTTCAGCTTCTTCTTCTTCTTCGAACACTAATAATAATAATAATCCTGAAGGGTTCTCTTGGCTGCGCCTTTCCCAGTCCATTCGCCGCGGTTCAGAACTGTTCGTCAAGCAATTGGGTGACTCTGTGAAGAAAGAGACCGGTTTTGATTTTGACGATGCTAAAAATATAGTCGCAGAATTTTCTGGTCGAGCTGTTGACTCTGCCAAAAAGGGGCAAATTCACCTCCAACATTTTAAGTCCGAGTTGTTTCCCGACTTCTTAAATTGGAACAAATTCGAGTCCTGGAAGGTGAACTTGAGCATTTCTCCTCACTTTTTTGTTGGGTCCAATTATTTAATCTTGAAATAGATGAACAATTTCAATTTTATTGGTATTGCTTTGAATTCTTTGCAAAATTTGTTCTCACGTTGTCTTTTTAATATGGATGTAAGTGATATACACTGAATGTGTAAAGATTTTTTAATACTATCAGAAGATTTTAACCTTACGATAATTATCATTTTGTAAGTGACCTGGTTTTGTAAGTATGTTTTACACGTCACTGCATAGAACATAAAACTCTTTTAACATTATGCCTACCTTTTTCTTTTGTTCCGTCAGGACATCAAGAAATGGGATTCAAAGAGAGTTGGTGTCTTCATTGTGTATGTTATAGTCACGGTATTTTCTTGTCAAAAAATATATATGGCAATTCGAGCTCCTATGATCAATAGGGAGCGAAAAGAACTTACAGAGGCATACATGGAGGCACTGATTCCTGAACCTACTCCTGTTAATGTCAAAAGGTAAACATAATTCCTTTTATCCGTAATGCTCAAGCAGATCCCTAAGAATGTAAAAGTAAAACAACAAATTGGATTTTTGTTTATAGGATTACTTGAATTCTACCATTAAGTACTTCACCAATCAACTAACTGTGTTATGATGAATACATAATACTTGGTAGCTCTATTACTTGGTGATATCCAGAGAGATCATTCCATGCTTCATCTTCTTACAGATAAAATGATGTGATGTCGAGTTTTGATAAGTTTGAGATGCATCTTGACATTATACTTCATCGTTTAATAATAGAACTTTTATTAATGAAAGAAAAAATAAACCAACATCAACGAAGTGTTGGAGAAACATAAGAATATATACAAATGCTCTCAGGGTTCTGGTTTAGTGGCAATAGCGCGATGCGTGATGTGTGATTAGGTGCACATCATGGGTTTGAACACTGCCTTAGACAAAATCCTCGTATTTGGGTGGAGAAGGTTAGAGGGACGGGCACATTGTTTACCGAGCTTCGGTTCATGCGCCAATTGGCTCTCGGGGATTTCTTGATTAACAAACTAATATATGGAATAGATTATGCCTGCATAGAACTTTGGAAATCTATCAAGTAACTTGATTCATAAACATCCTTCAAATTAGCCAAAAGACTAGTAGGGTAAAATGTTTATACCTCAATCCGTGCATGGTTTCAGCTTTTCCTTCAATACATCCACCACTTCTTCTTTCTTCCCATATCACGCAAGCTGGGATAGCGTCTCAAATCTCCTTTGCTCCTTCCTAAGGCCTTTGTTTTGCCAGGACCAGTATACATCCGTTAGAGAAGCAAGCATGACCCATAACCCCAAGATGTTAAGGAGAAGGTTCCACATTTATGAGCCTACTGAACAGTGGATGAAAAAATGCCTTGTATCTTCTAGTCCCTTTTCACACATAAAGCATATGTTACACAGCTTAATTTCTCTTTTGTTAACCTGTGTCAACAGTCAACACAGCTTCATGTGGGCTGCCTCCCAGTAAATCAAGCAACCATATATGGAGCTTTTGATTTCCTAAACCTTCTTCCAAGGCCAGCTATCCCTACTATCTTAACAAGCCATCAAGCTGTATAGCACTGTATCTGTTACCCACACAGAATATGGATTGGCTACTCAGTTAACACCAAGGATTTCTCAGGCTTTCTAATAGCTGTCTTACCATTTCAGGTTCCGAATGATGACAGTCTCTTCTAAAGCAAATGTCCCAGCCATAATGTGTCTTGCTCTGTGCTAAAGTGGCACCTGTGCAGCAAAGCTAAAGAAATATAGGAACGAATCCTTTAAGGTTGTGCCACTTCCAACATATCATGTCAAAAATGTATTCTTGTACCATCTCCCACCTTGAATTTAAGGCTTCCTGTTGGTTTTTGATGTGCTTCCAACATCCACTTGATAAGAGCTTGAAACTACTTTTCTGCACCATTAACCTTCTTGTCCATATTTTACTATCACCACCCCCTCTTTTTATCGAATCTTGACAACCACTTGAAAAGAAACGTTTGCTGTGCATTCTTAGATTTGTTATGCTCAAACCATCATCTTGTTTGCTAAGTCCGACAATATTTTACGAGTTGAAAATATTCCTTATCTTTATGTCCTTCCAATAGGAATTACTTTTATAGTCTGACCATGGCTTTCTCTACTATTAAGGGCATATGGGAAACTGGTATCACATAAGTTGGTAAAGCATCCAAAACATTATTTATTACGATAAGTGTACTTCTCAGTGTCGTCAAAGGCTCATTTAAAGCGCGTTTAATCCCTTAAGCTCAGAAAAGCTTTGGGAGAGCGATTCGCGTCGCTTAAGATGCACTTCAGTGTAAGGGAAGGCACTAAGGCTCACTCCTCATTGCCCATGAGTTCTATCTTGAATCAAGCGGCACTAAACAACTCATATAATCAACAAATAAGTGTATTAGCTATTAAGGAAAATGAATTTGTTACTTTTTTGTTAAATTACATATATATTTTGTATTTTTTTCCTTCATTGCGTTTTTTTACTAAAGCTCACACTTTAATTGATTTTTGCACTTAAAACCCCAATAGAGCTGGAGCGCATTTTAGAGCTTTTCGTGTTTGACAATATTGGTACCTCCCAAACAACTATCTTTCCACCATGATAACTTCCATTAAATATAGAGGCATACCCAAATAATTAGTTGAAAGATACTTGATGCTATTCCTCTACAATGAGAACATTTACAAGAAAATGAGAACACTTGGCTAGATATATGTGGAGCCTAGAAATGGCTTCAAAGACAATCAGAATTGCACCCTGATACCTAAGTTGTCTTCTGTCAACTTCAGACGTTATAAGGGTGTCATTAGCATACTGTGGGATGTGGGAAATATGCACTGAGCTAGCACCTTCTCCTCCAGCTTCAACACCTCTGGTATACTCCAATTGTTTTTCTATTGGATATGGTAAACCTCACTCCTATGAACCCCTGCCCAAGAGTTAATATTGGCCTTGGATTATGATTCATAATAAAACACCATGAGTTATAGTTGATAACTTAACTATATATTTCTTGCGGTAGTACAATTAATGTACTGCATGTCTTCCTCTATACTATTGTGTTTATGCATGCTAGCTTTGAGCCGAAGGTCTATCGAAAATAGCCTCTTTACCTGCATAAAGGTAGGGGTAAGACTGCGTGCTCACTACCCTCCATAGACCCCACTTGTGAGATTATACTGGGTATGTTATTGTTGTTTTTGTTGTTGTTGCTAGTACTATTAATGTAATATTTCTAGAATATATCAATGAGCATGCACCTCGGACATCGTTCATACGGGATCAGGGTGACTTGAACTAGAAATTTGATTAAACTAGCGTAATTTTGCACAAACATGAGGATATGAATTGAAAATAATTATTGAATACAAACTACGACTTGAAGTTAGCAATTACTTATAACTACGAACTACGAGTAGAAGCAAGCAATTATTTTATCAAAGAAAAGAAGAAACAAGCCTTGGCGGCCATAGTTATCTAGTACCTGTTGCTGGTGGGAGGTGTCAGGTATCCCGTGGAATTAGTCGAGGTGTGCGCAAGTCTGCCCGGATACCATGGTTATCGGGAAAAAAAAAACAGAAACAACTACAAGTAAGCAATTGAAAAAGCCAGGAAAATGATCAGGCACTTGAAGTTAACAATGAGGAGTGAGGTCTAGGCTGGCAAATCACCCACACAGACTCCTTAAGCTTCCACATTTGATAGGTCTATTACTATTCGGTTGAAATATTAACACGAGATTAAATTACCTAGCCCATTTTTCGATCAGTCTATCGGGTATTAAGCTTAACCCATAAAGGATTGTCTCTGGTGCTTTTTAGTGTGTCCACTAAATGCATAAAATCTCTAAATAGATGTCCCATCTAATGAGATCATAGATTGCCTAACCTCTCGAACCTTAATTTCCTTTTTCAATTCAATAAGGTTCCTAAATACCATTAATTTGGGCTGAACAACTAATAAGCACAATTGAGCACGTGATTAAGCAACAAAACCCTTTGAGCACGTGACCTTTTGTTAAAACGGGGACAAAACAAAAAATTCTAGACTAGTAGTTTGATCTGGACCATTATAAGATATTCAACTCAATGCAGTTTATGTCATAGGAGGACACATTTACCTGGATCACCTTATGCAAATATATGTTGTTACTTGATCCAATTGGTGCTTTAAGATATTTTTTGATCTCTCAACTCCGTTCTTGTATTCTTATAGATTCAAGAAAGGTCTGTGGAGGAAGACTACCCCCAAAGGTTTAAAGTTAAAGAAGTTCATTGAAGCAGCAGATGGAACTCTTATTCAAGATAGTTCCTACATTGGTGAAGATGCTTGGGAAGATGACACAGGCAGTCATGATATGAAAGAGGTGATAGAACGTGATACTAGATTGAGAGTAGAGGATAAAGAGACTCTGAAAGAGAATCTTGGAATTTCAGGTGAGTTTTGTTATTAGGCTTGCATAATGTTGTAAGGACTTAATTATCCTTCCTTCTTCAAAAGGAGGTGGAAATGTTAATAACAGTATCATAAGCTATTCTAGTTCCTCATTGGAAATGTTAGGTCGTATGCTAGCAACATAGTTCTGTAGTTTCCTATATATTCTTTTTATATCTTAATAGGATGAAAGAAGAACCTTCTTGATGGTTTCCTGTTCAATGAACAATGAGAAGAATTGTGTAGTAGTATATCAGTATTTTTGACTTTATTTTACTTCAAAATGAATAAGCTGCACTCTGCAATCTTGTTCTTTCTACTTTTTCGCTCCCCAAAATATTAGTAAACTTTTAAACTGGTGGATTGTTCTTTTTCTTTTCGGGGTGGGTGGGTGTTTCAGTATTTTTAAAGGTAGAGGTGCTGGGCGGAGCATTTGATCTATTATGGGGTGGGGTGTAAATCTCAAGGCATGGGACATAAGTCCCACAGATTTTGAACTTTTAATATGAAAATTAGTTTAAAAGTATATTAAAATATGAAAACAATCTGGAAACTTGGAAAATAATTTAAACGTATGTGTTTCGGAGTGTACAATACAGTCAATGCATTCCAACGTGTAAAAGCGCGCACAGGGCATAAGGGAAAACAGTCAAGGTGTAAACCGTGCATGAGGGGCGAATGCCTCACCTATTGAGGCGTTAGCCCCGTTATCACCTCGGGCTGTGGTAGAGGCTACCTTTCCCCGAGGCACGTCCTGATTTTTCTTCTAATTTTCTTTTTGAGATTATCAGTTAGTGCGGTAGGGATCATACATCAAAAATTGAGGAAAAGTTATATCAAATGGCCTCGTCAAATATAAATGAAACGTATAATAAGAGATGTACTTACTGTCAATTTTCTGGTCCACCATATCACATAGAAATCTAAATTCACTTTTGGGTGCATCCAGATAAAGGTAATTTCAAGGAGCTGGATTAAAGAACATTGTAGGTTATGCCTGGGTCTTCCTCCAGAAAGGCTGAGCTAATTTTGGTTAAATACGTATCTTATACTTTGTAGTAAAATGCATAAATAACATGGTGCGAAGGTTTTTTTTAATATGTTTTACATGATACCACTCCTATACTTTTAGGTAAGTTTGCCAAGCAGAGGTGTAGTAAGTAGAGTTAAGTTCAGAACTTATTATGTTAGAACTGATCTGATTAAATTCTTGAGATTCCCAGAATAATCTTTTAGACTTCAATGAACAATTATAGTGAATTGTGTTTTTTCAGTTGCCTAGGTGAATCCAGATTATCTTATTTGTCGTTTGAAGCATTTCTTTTCCTGTTGTTTTTGCAGCTGAAAATCAGGATATGAGTGGAACATGGCGTGAAAGGCTTCAAGCATGGCACGAAATTCTTAGAAAGGAGAAGATGGCAGAACAATTAGATTCAGTAAATTCAAGGTATGTGGTTGAATTTGACATGAAGGAAGTGGAGAACAGCCTTCGCAAAGATGTGGTTGAGAAGACAAGAGAAACCCAAGGAGCCAGGGCATTGTGGATCTCCAAAAGATGGTGGAGATATCGTCCTAAACTTCCTTATACCTATTTTCTTCAGAAGCTTGATACTTCTGAGGTAATTATTCCGCTTTCTCTGTTCCGTGTCTCTTCATACTCAGATATGGTTGTCCCTTTATGTTCTAATGCTTTCAAGTGGGACATAAATGTTGGATACTTCTAAGTCATAAAGCATTATTCATGAATGATGTTATAAGGGAATTGTACTTCAAATAGTGATGCCACCCTATTCTTCATTCTTTTGAATGATGTTATAAGGGAAAATAGCAAAAGTTATATTTGTTAAACATATTTGCCTTTGCTTGAGTTCTGGCTGGAGACTGTAATTCTCTGGTTCAGGTGGAATCAAACTAATGCATTATTTTGACGTAGATATGGATTCACTTTCTATTAGATTTACTAACTTAATATCCGCAGGTGGCTGCTATAGTATTCACGGAGGATCTGAAGAGAGTGTTTGTCACAATGAAAGAAGGATTCCCACTTGAATATATTGTGCGTAAGATATATATCTTTTGTAGAATAAATTCATTACTGTTCCTGAACCGACCTATTTACTGGTTAATGTATTTTCCTCCTTTTCAGGTTGATATTCCACTAGATCCTTTCTTATTTGAGATGATATCAAGTTCTGGAGCTGAAGTTGATCTACTTCAGAAGCGGCAAATTCATTACTTTCTCAAAGTTCTTTTTGCTTTATTGCCTGGCATACTGATTTTGTGGTTTATAAGAGAATCTATGATGCTTCTGCACATCACGACAAAGCGCCTCCTCTATAAGAAATATAATCAACTTTTCGATATGGCTTATGCTGAAAATTTTATTTTGGTATCTTTTCATCTCTATTGGATCTAACTAATACCTGCCTCTTCTATTTTTCTGAATTTTGTTTTATATACCAGTCACCTTTTTAACTCCTATTCCCTTGCCTACTTAGCCAGTTGGAGAAGTTGGTGAGACGAAATCGATGTATAAAGAGATAGTATTGGGAGGAGATGTTTGGGATCTTTTGGATGAATTGATGATTTATATGGGAAATCCAATGCAATATTATGAGAAAGATGTCAAATTTGTGCGGGTAAACTCATACAATCTTTTCAACACTTACTAAAACTATGTATTATGCAAATCTTGTTCAGTTTGATTCATTTTAATGCATGGCAGGGTGTGCTTCTGTCTGGGCCTCCTGGAACAGGCAAAACACTGTTCGCTCGGACACTTGCAAAGGAAAGTGGGATGCCTTTTGTATTTGCTTCTGGTGCAGAGTTCACTGATAGTGAAAAAAGTGGTGCTGCACGAATCAATGAAATGTTTTCTATTGCTAGGAGAAATGTGAGTTTATGTCTTCTAGTTACAAACTTACAATATTGACGTATAGGGATGAGAATGTTCCTCAGAATAACAAATTTTCCTCACGTGATCTCTGCACCGAAACAGCCACTGGATCGCCAGTCTAAAACAAGTTGGAGAGAGGAAGGGGAGCTTGGTCACTGTTTAAGTTATAACCTTTCTTGTAAATCTTAACCTACTGGTGACATGAACGTAATAAAGAAGCTTCTAAAGCAATAACAAGATGTTCAGTCTAACTAAAAATCTGAAGCTCATTTTATCAAGTATGCTTTTATGATGAAGTCTGTGCTTTTATGATGAAGTCAACGCAGAAGTTACTTTAAAACTGTTACGCTCCTTTAAATGCATGTTAATGTAACCTCTTGGCTTCACTATTTGCACCAGACACGAACTAACAGGTCTTGAGGCTTGGTTGAATTACTGTGGATGAAGTAACTAACAAATGTTTTAACATATTATGTTGCTGGCTTCGATTCTGATGATAAAATCTCCATCATTGAACAAAGAAATCATGCCCTAATGTTATACTGTTAATGAAATATGTTTTTCTGATGTCATTAGCCTTCAAGTAATAGGACCTGTCACTTCTCTTGAGAATTCTCACTATGATGTGATTTCTGACCCCCCCCCCCTTCCCCTGCCCCGCACGATGTACTCGTGCTAATTCAAGGGGATAAAATTTACGTTCTGTTGTCCTCTTTGTAGGCTCCAGCTTTTATATTTATAGATGAGATTGATGCTATTGCTGGAAGGCATGCAAGAAATGATCCGCGCAGGAAAGCAACATTTGAGGCTCTGATTGCTCAGCTTGATGGGGAGTGAGTATCTTAGTTTCACTCCATGGATATACACTCTATTCTTTGCAAAGAAAACTTCATATTAGAGAGCAGTATGATCTGCTGCTTTTGATGAGATCTGATGTAGAATCTTATTCTGCAGTGCTGGATATGGGTTCCTAAAGAACATTTCCCCCTTCTCATCGTGAATTTTTCCGCGCTTCTTCTCTACACTGTCTACAGTCTCTGGACAGTGAAATCTTTTGCCATTGAGTCATGAGTTTTCTGATATGAAAAAATAAAAAATCTTTTGAACTTGGTGTTTTTGTCAAACTATAAACAAATATGAGTTGAAAATAGTGTCTTGGCAATTGACTAACTTGCAACACCTAATAGTTTAATTAGTATGCTGACATCACTTGCACTTATGTGGACCGTTTGGAAAGAGAGAAATGCGAGAGCTTTTGAAGGAGTAGAAAATGATGAGGAATGGTCTCTTATCCCTTATTGCTTTTTGGTGCACCCACAAGGTTCCCATATGTATAGAAGATTGCGAGTTTCCTATCTTTTCGTAAGGTTTCTACTTTTTGGTGTACTAGTATACGGGCCTTTTTTGCCCTTCGCTAATGAAATTTATTGCTTTATCAAAAGAAGGGAAAGACATGGCACATGTGCTGCTTGCATCTTCTAAGGCATGTAATGGTTTCCTCGGGTTGGACAGAGATTGGCCCCGGAACAAAGGGTTGCGATCCCGTAGGGTGAGCTACTGGCCCCACCCCATCTCCACTGGATCGGGAAAAAACATCAAAACTTCTGTGATGTAATTTTGATTTATATGTTTCTCTACTAGTACGCTGCTGGGGGTAAGGCCTGCATACACACTACCCTCCCCAGACCCCCACTTGTGGGATTCCACCGGGTGGTTGTGTTGTTGTTTTAGTACACTGCCAGAGCTAGAAGGTTACAGTAATATACATACCAAAAAACGTTATGCTAATATTCTAGAAGTACTGAAGGCAAAGCCACTTTGCCCTCCTATGTTCTTGTTTTGTTTTGCGCAAGATGATATTGGATTTGTTTGTGCAGGAAAGAAAAAACTGGTGTTGATAGGTTTTCACTAAGACAAGCTGTCATATTCATCTGTGCTACCAATCGGCCAGATGAACTCGACTTAGAATTTGTCCGCCCTGGACGTATTGACAGACGGGTGTATATTGGTTTACCAGATGCAAAGCAACGAGTGCAAATTTTTGGAGTTCACAGTGCTGGGAAGCAGCTTTCAGAGGATGTTGACTTTGAGAAAGTAAATTGCTTGCTTTACTCGTTCTTGTTACTAGCTTGGAATTTCTTCATCTCATTTGATTTCTTTGAACAAAAAATTACTTTCACATTATATACTGCCTATTTTGAAGGGGTCAGGAGCAACCCTACTACTTCACAGGCCGAAAGGCAGTTGTTTCCTTTTCTTATACTTGTTTGACTCAAAAGATATTGCAACCTTTTTGAACAAATCAATCAAAGAAAATGAGGGGGTAAATCTTAGCTAAGTATAATAATCTCTAGAACAAAGAGGATATACAATGAACACACTTTTCTGATCTTGTGAGGATCAATAATTGAGCGTTGGGAAATGCTGATAGAAAAGTATTACAATCACTGTTTTGTCTTAGAGAGAAGTCGAAAAAAAAGAGAGCCCCCTTACAAAGTTGTTATTCCCCTGTATATAAGGGACAGACCCCTTCTAGATCCTACAAAGCATATTACGGGGAATATTCGAAAGAATATTCCTAGCGTCCCTTATCGAACCCATGTTGAGCTGCGAGCATCTCGCCGTTGGTCGTGTTCGTCAATGGTCGTGGTCGTGGTCGTCCAAATTTGGACCCATACAATACTTAGTGTGGGAAGACAATGGACTTCTTTTCTTTAAATTACTTGATGTATACTGATGAAACCCTCCATTTGGAGCCCCTGATGTTGAGGCTCAGGTTTAGGAATTTGATTGAATTGTTTTCCTTTGCGGTGTTGCAGCTTGTCTTTCGTACAGTTGGATATTCTGGAGCAGACATAAGAAATCTAGTCAATGAAGCTGGAATAATGTCTGTAAGTCTGTTCTTTGTATTTTGACCCAGAAACTTCTGTAATCACTATTGGTGCTTCATAATATCTCTTGATCTATTTTTTCTTGACTAGTATTGTTTTCCTAAATCAATGTTGGCAAGTTATTGGCAATCGACTTAAAAATCACATTATTACCATGGAGACTTGTAGAGCACACCATGCATTTCTTTTCATAGAAACAATAGATTGGCGGATTTGAGATCATGTAATTAGCTTTTTGCTGTAACGGTTGACTTCACAGTATTATTTTTTAAAAAAAAATTAGAGGGTGGATAGAATAACATATAATATTCTAAGAACAGAGTAAAATGAAGCAAACTTAGGTGGCTGTGACTGAAAGTTGTGGAGCAGATGCCAGGGAAATTAACCAAAATCAGAAGTTAAATATAAGAGCTGTCACCACAAATGAGAGTAAACAAGCAAACAAGTGCTTTTTAATAATCACCAATCTCAACAATAAACTTATCTATGATAGTGGCAAATTACAAACCCCAGAATTGAACAGATATAACTTAAATTGCATGCATGGCCTGCTCTCCAACTTAACTCCTTTATCGCATATCGATGTCAAGCAGTACACCAAAGTTTCTAGACTTTGAGAACTGATTAAACTAATTAAAACTTAAAAATTTACCTGATATATGCTAACTATCTCCTCATTAATCTTCGGTATGACTGAAAATGTTTTCTGGTTTTCCATTTCTCGAGGGTATTTGCTTAAGTAATCGAATTTACACGCAGGTAAGGAAAGGACATTCTAAGATCGACCAGAAGGATATTATTGATGTTTTGGACAAGCAATTGCTTGAGGGTATGGGTGTGCTCCTGACAGAGGAAGAGCAGCAAAAGTGTGAGCAGAGTGTATGCAATCTTTCCCTGTTGCTCCTAGAAGAGAGACATGATGTATCGGTTTATTGTTGTGATCATTTAAAATCTTGTAATAGGTATCTCGTGAAAAAAGACGATTGTTGGCAGTCCATGAAGCTGGTCACATTGTCTTGGCGCACTTGTTCCCTCAATTTGATTGGCATGCTTTTTCTCAGCTTCTACCTGGTGGCAAGGTATTATGTTTTACATGAACATGAGTTATGTTATATTCAATCCGGCTTTTGTTGATTCAGAACTAATACTCATTTGAATGAGCAGGAAACTGCGATATCCGTTTTCTACCCTAGAGAAGATGTGGTTGATCAAGGTTATACAACCTTTGGTTACATGAAAATGCAAATGGTAGTAGCTCATGGAGGGCGCTGTGCAGAACATATTATATTTGGTGATGACATTACTGATGGAGGAATAGATGATCTAGAAAAGATTACAAAGGTAGACCACATTTCTTCAGCTGTTGCAGCATTCAAGCAGCGACAGAGCAAGTACTCTTGATTTTACTGTGTTTTCCTCTTTTGGGTTGTGGTGGGAGAGATAACTATAGGGTAGCGGAGTAATACAGTTTTATCGTTAACGAATATTCTTGAGGTGTGGAGGAAGGTGTAATTAAAGGTATTGAGAAAAATTACAACAAAACAAGATCTTTGCTGCCCATCTACCTACATTTAGACAAATACCTGCATGCCTCCATATGTTAGTACGTATATATATATATATATATATATATATATATATATATATATATATATATATATATATGTGTGTGTGTGTGTGTGTGTGTGTGTGTGTGTGTGTGTGTGTAGGTATATATATATATATATATATATATATATATATATATATATATATATATATATATATATATATATATATATATATATATATGTGTGTGTG